CCCCGCCCCCCCCCTGCCCTGACTCCGCCCCCTGCAGCCCCGTCCCCGCCCCTCTCCCACAGTCTGCCCCGCCCACCCGAGAACCAGCACAAACTTTTCTAGCAAGCATGTTTGTTTGAGGCTGGAGTTTGGGCTTGGCTTGTGTTTTCTGGTCTGGTTCTAGGATTAACGGGTTCGAACAGGGTTCAGGACGTTTAACTTGAGATGTTTGCTAGAAAAGTCTGTTTCCAGCCCCTCCTGCAGCACTGGACACTGGACACCAATCCCTCTACTTGAAGTGGCTAACTGCCTGTTTCCACAGACATGTCGGCTTTTTCTTTTAAACCTTTTTTATACTTCATTTGACTTTGCAGTTTTTAGTTGTGTGATATTTTTCTTTTATTTATTGCTTTGAGAGACGGAATCTGTCCGTGACGTTCCTGAATAACACACTCGCTCGTCTCTACCTCTCATCCTCCTCTGTTCCCCGAGCCCTCTGGAGTTTGTAAATCCGGTTTCTTAAACGTAATTATGGCCAATAAAGTTGGCAGCATTCATTCAGTTGTGAGTGTTGTTGGACTTTTTTGATTGTAATCATTAAACGCAGCGTTTTGTTTCACTCGCTCTCGAGTCGCTTGCTGTGACTTACACAGTTATTAACACGAGACACACACACTCACAAAAACCTGCTCTTGTTTTATTAATCTTTCATATTTTAACACACAACATATACACAGAATATATCATATACATTTCTTATGCTTGATTTAAATAAAGTATAATTAAAATGAGATTTTGGTGAGGTGAAATGTTGAGCATGACAAATGTATAAATAATAATTAAAAAAACATATTGCATTTAATGTATAATTTTTGCATTATAATGATGACATTTTGATGATTCGATTTCCTTAAATATCTGCAACTAAAACTGAAATAAAAATTAAAACTGTATAGAAATATTTTTTTAATTCAAAATTCAGATTTAATATTAACAAAAACAAAAACAATTTATTTAAGCTACAACATTTCTCATTTTCATTTAGTTCAAGTTGATGTCCATATCTAAAACTGAAATAAAACTTAATAAAAACAGACATTTAAAAAAACTAATAAAAATGGCAAAACACAACAAAAACATTAAAATTAAAATCCAAATGAAAAATATAAAAAAATAAAAGCGAATTAAAAATATTAATAAAACAAAAAAACATTCCATTTTTATTTTAACATGATAGATATATATATTAGAATTTTTGGAATTAGATATCAGAATTATATTAAAAATATCAGTAGAATGTAAATATTAAATGGATGAAGATTGATGCATAAAATGTAAAACAAATTTGAAGTGATTGGAGGGAATACAATTATATTTATATTATATTAAAATATTTCTCTTCATTTTCGAAACATGTTTTCTGGTGAGTATTGTCTTTTATAAAATCCCTTGAACTTAGAGAAGCCACTTCCTGAATGGCATCATCCTGCAGGAAGTGACATCAGTTTGGAGGGAAAACGAGATCAGTAAGTATCAGTGGATTATTGATGATTTGTGATGTTCTAAAAACATTCATCCTGTTTGATCAAATAAAACCCAGCATTTCAAAAGATGCTTAAAAGATGTATTTATTTACAGACTATTGAGCAGAAGTTAGTTTCAGTGTCACGAGTGAGTGAGAAAGAAGCAGTTTATGCTCAATAAAAGCTCTTTTCGTGGTCTGTGTGGCTGAGTTATTGTTGTTGTTGAATTAAACTAAAAACTTGTTTTATTATACTTATTTTATTTCAGCTGCAACATCTCTCGTTTTCATTTAGTTTGAGTTGATCACCTTAAATAACTACAAATTAAATGTATAAAAACTATATAGACATAAAACAGAAATTACAACAAAAACATTTACTAAAAATATAAAAATTAATACTAATTTGAAACATCTGGAATAAAGATTAATAAAAACTATACATTTAAAAAAAGAAAACATAAAAATGACAAAACAATTATAATAAAAACTAGTAAAAATTACATGTATTTATTTATTGATTACATGTATTTATTAAAATACAAATGGAACATTTCAAAATATTACCTTAAACACAAAAATACTTGAAATAAAATGAAATAGCTTTTTTTTTTGTAAAAGATTAATATATGTATAGATATAAAAAAATAAAACATAAAAATTACAAAAAAGTATAATAGAAACTAGTAAAAATGACAAAAACAAAAATGATTTTTTTATTATTTATTAAAATACAAATTGAAAATACAAAAAACTAAAATTCTAAATATTGTCAACAAAAAACATTTGATTTCAGCTACAAGCATTCAGCTGATTTATTAATTTTTTTCCTGAAAAAAAAAAACTAGAAATATTAAAATAAAACTAATAAAATGACAAAACTCACAAAATGACAAACTAACTCAAAATGCAAATGGAAAACAAAATAAATCATTAGAAATATGAATGAACCTCGCATCATATTCAGCACATCAGTGAAATCAGAATAAGAGTGCTCAGTTTTGGACTCGGTTCGGAGCTGATTTGAAGATGCTGGTTTGTCTCCAGATTCTCCTCCTGAAGCCTCAGCTCTGGCTTCAGAAGAATCCGCTGGTGTCGAGCGAAGCAGAAAGTATTGCTGAATCAGCAGACGAGGGAAGCGTCCCGTCAGCAGAAGCTAAAGCTCTTCATTGTGGAGCGGCTCTCGTGAGCTCGTATATATTGGCCCGCTCACACTTTCTTGCGTGTGGCTGAGTTTGGACACGATCCAGAGGAAAATGTCGCAGTATTCGGGAAAGGTAAGAGCTCCTAGAGTCCAGAAACCACAGCGGACCCCTCTCCCGGAGCGTGAGCTCTGCTTCGGTCGGGGTTCAGGGCCCTTCATGCGCGCGCTGCTGTTTTAGCATCATCGACATGTTATTCTTTTTTGTATTTTTATTAGTTTTTGTTATTTTTAAATGTCTGTTTAGATTTGTTAGTTTTATTTATGTATTTTGTTTAATTTAATACTTCAGTTTGAACTAAATATTTTAGTTAACAATAATAACTCTGGCTTGGAGAGTTTCTCTCGATATTTTTACATGACATTTATAGTTTGATCAGCTAATATTATGAATTAGATTTTATTTGTATATTTTCTGTTTTCATTTTAATATTAGTTAAAGTTTAAATACTTTTGTTTTGATTTTTTTTTATCATAATAACTCTGGCTTGGAGAGTTTCTCTCGATATTTTTACATGACATTTATAGTTTGATCAGCTAATATTATGAATGAGATTTTATTTGTATATTTTCTGTTTTCATTTTAATATTAGTTAAAGTTTAAATACTTTTGTTTTGATTTTTTTTTATCATTTGTATTTTTTTTATGTCCATTTAGATTTTATTCATTTTCACTAGTTTTAGTTTATTTAGTTTTATTTTTAATTTTCAGAGTTTTTTTTTTATTTAAATGAGTTTTTTAAATATCTTATTTATTTCAGTTAATGTTTATTTTATTCCAAGTAATGAAAATATTTCTTACGGTTTTAGTTTTAGTTATTTTTAAATATTTATAATTAGATTTTATTTGTATATTTTCAGTTTTCATTTTAATATTACTTAAAGTTTAAGTACTTTTGTTTAGATTTTTTTGTAATTTTTATTATTTGTTAATATCTATATAGTTTTTATTTATTAGTTTCAGTTTATTTAGTTTTATTTTTAATTTAAATGAGTTTTTTAAATATCTTATTTATTTCAGTTAATGTTTATTTTATTCCAAGTAATGAAAATATTTCCTTTAGTTTTAGTTTTAGTTAACAATTTTTACATGACATTGACACTTTAGTTAAAATGTTAGTAATTTCTTTTAAAAATGTCTATTTAATTTTATAATTTTTTATGCATTAGTTTTAGTCTATAATTAGTATTTATTTATCTATCTATGTATTTAGTTTACCTTGCTACTTAAAGTTGTAGTTGTAATTTTTTATATATATCTAGTCTTATATAGTCTTACTCATTTTTATTTATTAGTTTTAGATAATTTAGTTATATTTAATAAAAGAGAAATGTTGCCTTTGGACTTTTTTGTTTGTTATATATATATATATATATATAAAATTTCAGTTAATGTTTATTTAATTTCAAGTAATGTTTTTAATGATTTTAGTTTAAAGTAACAGTATAACCTTGGCTTGGAGAGCTCCTGTCATTTTTATATGACACTCACAGTTCGAGAAGCTGGTTTTGGACTGAAAGCATGGCTGTGTGTGTAGTCTGACCCCGCTCCTGCGCTCCTGCGCTCCTCAGATCGTGTTTTACGAGGGCCGCTGCTTCACCGGCCGCCGGCTGGAGGTCTACGGTGACTGTGATAACTTCCAGGACCGTGGCTTCATGAACCGAGTGAACTCCATCCGTGTGGAGAGCGGCGCCTGGAACTGCTTCGATCATCCGGACTTCAAGGGCCAGCAGTTCATCCTGGAGCGCGGAGAGTATCCCGAGTTTCAGCGCTGGAACTCACACAACGATCACATGGGCTCCTGCAGACCAATCAGGATGGTGAGAGAGAGCTCCACAAGCTCCACAAATCAACCCACTGAAAATATCACCTTTAGCTTACTTCGAAACCATTTTCACTCACAGATCGCGAGAACATTTCACATTACACACTGAAAGTTCGAAGTGGAAAAGCTGAAATTGTAGGCTATTTCCTTGTAAAACATATAAGGGTTTTATTTACAACTTCTAAAAATATTTTTTAAAGAGGCCATGCATTAAAACAGCATTTATATTTATTCTATTTTCATTTTTTAAAACTTTTGCTATTTATTATAAATGCATTATACGTTTGTGATAAACATCGAGGTCCTCGATTGCATTTAT